TAAAGAAACATATGCTCCCACTAGATGAACATCGCAGAAAAAATACAAGCATGAGTGTTAAGTCCAAAACTTAAACCCTGATGCGCTTGTTCCACCAAAAAACCTAAACATTTGATGAGTTACGCACGGTTCGCTCCCCTAGCGTTTTTCATGTCGTAAAATCAACCGAACTAGGGCCTATCATCTAAGTATCTAGGACTGCCAACCTACATTGGAAAAGCAAGGAAAAAGACCTTTGAGTATACAAAGGAGAAAGTGTGGAAAAAAACACAAGGCTGGAAGGAGAAGATGTTGTCAAAAGCTGGAAAGGAGATACTAATTAAGGCAACGGCACAGGCAATACCGGTTTACACAATGGCATGTTGTGACATAACAAAGTCCTTGTGTGAGCAACTGAGTTCCATTATAGGGCGATAGTGGTGGAGCCAGATGGATAAGCAAAACAAAATTCATTGTGTGTCATGGGAGAAAATGACTAAACCAAAAAAGATGGCGGGCTGGGATTTAGGGACTTATACTCCTTTAATCTGGCTATGCTAGCTAGTCAGGTTTGGAGAATATTGCAAAATCCGTCATCTTTGTGCGCTAGAGTCCTAACTGCGAAATACTATCCGGGAAAATCAATGTTAGAAGCTACCCCCAGCAAGGGTATCTCTTATGTTTGGAGGAGTATACTCAAGGGGATTCAGCTTCTAAAGAGGGGTATTATCTGGAGGGTAGGTAATGGAGAAAGTATTGAGACTTGGAGTGACCCTTGGATCCCAAGAGGAATTACAAGGAGAGTTGTGACGCAAAAAGGAAGGAATCTGGTAACTAGAGTGGCTGAGTTAATTGACCCCAGCACCAATACATGGGATACACAACTTGCCCAACAGACCTTTCTACGTGAAGATGCAAACTTAATATTGCAAATCCCCATCCATGAGCACGCAGATGACTTGCTGGCCTGGCATTTTGACAAAAAAGTATTTTTTTCTGTGAAATCTCTCCCTAATAATAAAGCACGGATTGGGTCTCCGGGTTCACCGTCGCGTCCTTTTTGCAAAATAATCCCTATTGTTTTAGGTATTCAACCCGCACTCACGTCCCTAATCCCTAAGTGAATTAACGATTCACGATAGAAAAAATGTCCCGAATAGGTGCTGCATCGCCCCCACCGCTTCGCCTCAATTGGCACCAGCGCAGGCCACCCCGCCGCTCGACCTTGACTCGCACCAGAGGCGACCACCACCATCCTCGCTGCTCCCTACCCTCCCCCAGCCCGATATGGATGCCTAACCCGCGGGAACGGGCAGGCGGACGGCGGGCGATGTGAGGCGCGGTGGCGGCACGAGGAAGATGGGCAGATCCGGGCACGGCGTTGACCGATCTGGCGGCTGGTGCGCGGCTTGTTCCGGTCCCAACGACATCCTGCTCATCCATAGAAGGAGAGAGAAGGGCCCGAGGGAGAGAGGAAACAGATGAAGAAAGGAGAAGGGGCATACGCAGGGTGAGGGAGGAAGTCGCCGGCGGTGGCGGCTCCGGTGACTGGCCGACGGGCTTGCTAGGCAAGGCTAAGGAGTACGCTAGCCTGAGATTCGATAGAGGTGTGTTTGATTTTTAGATTTGGGCTGAACAACCAATTCTTGGGTAGATTTATTCGATGTACTGATGGATCATCCTCTGGAGTGCATGAATTGAATGAATTTCTGAATTCTGAGCAGCATGAATTGAATGAATTTTGCACCACGGGGAAGAAGTTGTGGTGGCGGCGAATTATGTAGCCATTGTCTCTCACGACTGCCGGCCCCTGCTCGCGACATCTCTACTGAAGCCGCCTCTGCCTACTCTGGTGTGTTGCAGCTCCTTACTCTAGCCACATGTCGCTTGCTCTCCCGCTAGCCTCTGCCTGCTCTGGTCTCGAAGTTGATGACACCCTGATGCAAAGCTTCCACAATCATCCGCTCCGTCTCAGCTTAAGAATCATGCTCGCACATTACCTGTCAACTAGATTAGTTCATTGCGTATGTGTGTAGCCATGCTTTCGTTTTAGTAATCATTTGATATTACAGTTTGGTTACCCTTTTCTGCTTTGTTAGAAAAAACATCTCCAGCTACAGAAAAGGAGTTTGTATCCAGCTTGACCTCCATAGCAGGAAGATTTTTGTAATCGTTCTATCAATGTTCTATTAATGGACAGAGGAGGAGAGCAATGGAAATAACACCCCGTCGTGGTCCTGGTGCTTCTCTCCGTGGGTTCGCTTGCTCACCTCGGCGTTTGCGGCTTCTACAGGTACGTACTAGACAACTACCCATTGTTTTTGTTTTCTATTGACAGTTTGATCGCTTCATCAATCCTTCTAGAGGGTCTTGACAGGAAGGACTGAGCAGCCATTGTGCTGGAGTAGACTGTGTGACAGGTTTTTTCCTCTCTCTCCTACCCGTGATTGGTTTCTTTGGTGAAGAAAGCATCACTGTCTTTCAATACATCATGGATGCTCAACCTGTATGTCTACATGGTACAAGAATGAAGATTAACCATTCAATCTATTGATTCAGAGTGAGACAAGGGTGAAACAGAATAAGCTCATTTTTGTGATGAGTTCCCTAGGCCCCAGAAGGCCAGAACTAGCATTTTAATTACAAAATTCAGTTTTTGATCACGTTATTTCAGTTTCATTATAGACCTTATAATATTTTTTATGGATTAATATAAGGTTTATAATATTTTGTGGAGCAATTAGTTGTGCATAGAAAAGAGCTCACCTAAATTAATGACATGTTCATCTTATCTTCGATTAAAAAAATTTGCCCCCTAATATTCAGTTCTACTGAGAGTTGTAGAAGGCAAAAATCCAGCAAATTAACTCAAGTAAGTGTTTTTGTTATTTCCCAATGTAATTAAAAATTTTCTTCTCAAAATACGACATGGTCATTGTCGGAAAAGAATATTTAGCATGAATGTAGGTGCTTTCATATGAAGCTGGACATGTTTACAATGATCGACCGGATACCGTTACACGTGTCCTGAATATGAAGTTTAATGATTTCTGAGAAGATGTTAAAAGTGGACATTTGTTTCGTACAATTCAAGCATGTAAGTTATTTACATACTGATTTTATCCTGCTTTGTTTTAATCTTTTCATTTATATAATCTAACTTTGTCCATCTATTTCTCTTCCTCTATTTTGCGGTTATCCAAGTTTATACATGATGGAGTTCCAGAATAGAGGCTTGCCTCATACTCATACTTCAATTCGGCTTATATGGAACAATCATGAGCCTTCGGCCTCCTTCATAGATGGTTTGATTTCGGCTGAGATACCTGATCGTTTGGTTGAGCCCTGGGTTATGCTCTTATGGATTAATTTATGGTTCACGGTCCATGTGGAGACTACAAAGTAAAGTGTGCATGTATGAAAGATGGATTGTGTTCCAAAAGATTTCCCAAAGATTTTAATGAGCAGACGTCGGTTGATGATAGAGGCTTTCCTATATATCATAGACGTGATTTGGGTTACTATGTGAGGAACAAGGGTACTGTTAAGCTGGATAATCGATGGGTAGTTTTCATATAATAGTTTTGGTAATGTAATTATTAATGTATTTTTCTTCTTGCGAAGCGTACTGGCATATGTTTGCTTTCAATATACATGGTCGTGAGCCTGCAGTGGAGAGATTGGTTGTGCACCTTCCTCGATTCTTCATTACGAGTTACCTTGGAACCAGGAAAGTTGCTTTAATTTTTGTTGATAAGATGACAAAAAATAATGGATACAATTATGGAGAAAATAAATTACTTTGGCTTAACAACCTACAACCAACTGAGCCATGCTTGTCATACTACTATCTGCTGCCATTTCATGGTATTTTCTAGCTCTTATCGTGCAAGTGTAGCCAACTCTAATGACTCACGACAAAGACTCACATAGTGCATGATCACATCTTATCTTTCATGGTAATTCTGCACTTTGAAGGAAGTTTGTTTCTTTTAGGGAAACCAATGTAGTTTATTTTGATCCAAATTCAATAATAAAATTTGATCAATTCTTGTATAGTCTATGGAAGTTGCATATATTTGTCAGGATTAATCAGCTTGATTGATAAGTTATATTTTTCATTTTGTAGTCTGTATCTGGTGAAACTTTATAGGCCAGTTACACATATTTAAATAGTGTCATTTTCCTTAAAAAAGATTAGCGTTGCATGTTGATAGTAGCATTGGCCAATAATTTCAGACCGAATAGAATCTAAGATGAGACAAGCAGATGGACTGCGAGCTATAACTGAGTAGTGCACAACGACAGATAAACTAACAAATACGAACTCTTATTTATTTTGTAAGTGTTGCAACACACGGGCATGTGATTCATGGTTCGGACAATGCCCGTAGCAACGCACGGGCATATTTACTAGTCTGCTTATAAAGACACAAGAGATCGAGAAGCTTTGTCGGGTCGAACATCTTTCTCCAGTGCAGCTGTTGAAAGGAAAAAGTAAGGAATGGCAAATTATCAAATCGCCCCATATCATCAACCTGAATTGACCGAGCATCCGCACACAGCCCGCTCTCGCGCCATCACCAGCTCATCGCCCGCCCACTCCACCACGTCACTCCCCTCCGCCACGTGACGGGAGAAGAGAGGTAAAATATCTGCTGCTTTCTTCGCCACCAAGCAAAAAGCTCCCGCCTGGCCTCTGCTGGGCTGCACTTTCCTTTCCACCCCCAGAATCGCAGATATTTCCGGCACCGCCTTGCCCTGCGTGGGCCAGGGCCGCCGCGATCCGCCCCGCCGCCAAGTGTCCCCGCGCCTGCCGACTGGGGCCCGGAGCGGCGGTCAAACGTCACGCAGGGGCACGGCACGCCCTATCCGCTTCTGCAACTGCAGCTGCAACGCGGCGTGCCCGTCGCCGTCAACAGTATGTCGGTTTCACCCGGACCGAAGCCTATAAACGCCGCGCCGCGCCGCCCCGCCTCGCCCCGCACCGCCCATTCCGGCCATCCGCCAGCGCGCGGCGCATGGACCACACGCACACCGGCACCAACACCACGCCCGCCGCAGTCATCGCCTCCGCCTCCATGGACGCCGCGCTGCTACTCGAGCCCAAGCTCGAGATGATGCTGCAGCAGCAGCCCTCGCCTGCGGGCCACTACGCCGCGCTGGACCATCACCTGGTCCCGCCGCCGCCCGCGCTGGTGGTGCCCTGCGAGCCGCCGCGGCCCCTCGAGGCGCTGCTGCAGGGGCCGCAGCTGCCGCCGTTCCTGTCCAAGACGTACAACCTCGTCAGCGAGCCGCAGCTGGACGGGGTCATCTCCTGGGGCCCCGCCGGCAACAGCTTCGTCGTGTGGAACCCTTCCACCTTCGCCCGTGACGTGCTCCCGCACAACTTCAAGCACAACAACTTCTCCAGCTTCGTCAGGCAGCTCAACACCTATGTGCGTATCGCATCACTGCCCAATCCTCTGTTTTTTTCTTTTGCAATCAATCACTGGACTATTCATGCGGCCGTACTCTGCTCGGGAGATACTCTGTTTCTGCTAGGTTTCTGGCACTCTGTCTGTTTCGGATGCTCTGTTTTCTTTTTGTTCCTCTTGGTTTCTGCTGTTGTACTCTGCCCAACTCTGCTATGTATATATACACTCTTTGTACTTCCCTTGATAATTTTAGTGAGCGGAGTTGTGGTCTGTAATGCCAACCTGGCGTTTCTTTTGTGAGCGGAATTGTGGTCTGTAACGCCAATTTGGCCTTTCCCGAAAGAACTGGATTATCTTGATCATTGAAATAATCCTGATTCCTGAGGAGTTGATCCTGTGATGGCAAGCTTAACCATTTGCTGGGATGCGACGCTGCTCGCGCTCAAAGGTAAGCTTCGCAATCCAAATTTGTATACGCATCTGTATCTGCCCATACTGCAAATTCCTTCTCTCCAAATAGAAAAATAAACGCGGCAACATATTTTGTTGGTTTTCTGCTGCTCTGTGTGGCCATGCATTCTTCTCAACTCCTCAGCCTGCCTCCTTCGCAGGTTTGGTCTGGTGCAGCTTTACCCCTTCTAATTTATCATCTTTTCATATTGACATATTTCTGAGACTTTAGCACCGTGTATTTCAAAATACAGTTTTGCTAAAACACATCTAGATGTGCCCTAAGTATTGCACATCTAAGTCCCATGTCCTTGATTTTACACAGAGATTTGTGCAAACATTTTCCTCTTTTTTCTTTTTCCTTCCTAGTTTGATTGAGCCACTTAGATGTGCAATAACTAGGGCACATCTAGATGTGCCCTAGACACTATAAATACCATAGTGCATCTGCTGCAGATTTCTTCTAAGGTTACTGAAGAAATTTTTTGGTGGGTAACACTGTTCAGCTTGCTTCCTGTGGGATTGGAAGGGGGGTGATGTTGTCAGTATGGAGCAATTTGGTTCAGTCTTTGTTCAGTTATAGGTGGCAACTACTAGTGTATTAATAGGTTTTAGTCTGAATGACACTAAAAATGTTCACCCGAGCTCATTTGAGCTCGGGCTCAGAAACACCACGTTCCTGAACTTGGCATTTTGACCGAGTTTATGACTGAACTGTTGTGAAGAATTATGATGCTTGTTCAGTTTCACCTTCTCCTCCTTGTCATTGTTAGTTTGTAACATCTTTTTCATATTTATCAGGGTTTTCGCAAGGTTCATGCTGATAGATGGGAGTTCGCTCACGAGGGATTTCTGCGGGGCAGCAAACATCTGTTGAAGACGATAGTCAGGCGCCGGTCCTCGCCGACGCAACAAAGCAGCCTTCAGCCTGGTTCATCTATCTTCAGGAAGATACAGTCTAGCTCTTCTGGTGAGTCCACTCTGGACCCTGAACTGCACTCCCTGAGAAGAGAGAAAAACGCGCTGCTACAGGAGGTGGCCAGGCTGAAGGAGGAGCACAATCAGACGATCGAGCATATGAACGCACTGAACCAGAGGCTGGAGACCGCGGAGGACCGGCAGAAGCAGGTGGTCTCCTTCTTGGCCAAGCTCCTTCGGAACCCGGATTTCCTGAGGCAGCTCAAGATGCACAGGGAGAGAAGGGACGGGATCGATTCCGCCAGAGTGAAGAGGAAATTCCTGAAGCATGTGCTGCATGGCAGCAGAAACTCGGGCGACTCCAACTCGCCGCGCACCGCAGAGAGTACATGTTCCCCTGCACATCCAGTTGCGCACGACGCCATTGCAGACCTACAGAGTTTTCTCCTGGAAGACACGGACCTTAGTGATGGCATGCTGCCGGGTAACTTTGGGCTGGACGGAGTCGAAGCATCAGACGACATCGGGGCTTTGGTTCAGGTATTTGACCAGCAAGATCTCGGAACCGGGGCCGAGCTGCTTGGAATTCCTCCAGTTCCTGGTGCTGCTCATTGTCAAGACCCCACGTTTGGCAGGTCCAAGGGGAAGAATGTCATGTGTCCAGGAGGAACGGATGGCACATCGTCTCAAGCCGACTGCCTCGTGCCATTACCGGGCAACGTGGGCAAACTGATGGATGCGGATGGTGAGCAAATTTGGGGCGCCAATACTTTTTTTCAGAGTTCTTGCAGCGGCACCAGTCAACAAACCTATGTTAGTGATCCCTATCTAATGGAGATTCCCGACAAGCCTGAGAGATTCTGGGAACTCGATTTTGATGCACTGGATGATGGAGATCTGCACCTGGACAAGTGTGTTATCGGCGACCCTGCTCTTGAGCAACACAGAGGAAACATGAAGCCATAGATCAATTGCGAAGCGGGGGAGTTGTAGGTCTGATGCTCGATCCACCTATCTTAATAACCATACTTAGCTGTGAGAAGTGCCATAGTTATTTGATATTTAGGAGGCTAGTGAACTCCTGGATGTGCTCACTATGGCACTAAGAATTAGTAGTAGTGGTGGTACTAGTACTAGCGGTTTGTTTTTGTTTTCCATTCATTCACCCTACTGTTTTTGAATGGAAAATATTATCATGTCATTTGCTTTGTTTTTGTTTTCCATTCATTCACCCTACCCTTTTTGAATGGAAAAATATCATTGTGTAATTTTCTCGGAGCAAGTGCTCCGGCCAATCGTCGTGTTTCCCAACTATTGGTGTGCCACTAGAAGCATACGCCCGCACTTTGCCGACCCATTTAAGTTTTTGGCATTGATGTGGGCTAATCAGGCATTGTAATGTTGGCTGAATTCACAAGTCCAAAAATGGGGAAACAGAAACTCACAAGCAGCCATTAAGCAATTTGAACACATATCACTGCTTAAGGGTCCATAATTCATAATTCTAGACATGAGAGTAGTATGGATATGGAATTGTTCATGCATGGGGTTGTACAAGGGGAAGGATTATACAATTGTTGCCACAATATTGATTGTTTTACATGGCACGCTGGACAACCCAAATTACCTACAACATTTAAAGCTGAAATAAACTTTTTTTAGAGAAAAAGGCTTCTGTCCCGGTTCCATTTTGATAAAAACGAGATCATACAGAGTTTTGTAACTTATTACAAGCGACAGAAGTATTACCTTCAGACAGTTTCAACAGGCTACTCGTCAAAGAGGGAAAGAACTGGTTAGGATAAAAATGAGCATACCACTCCACCTGACCAAAGGGTCTAAGATCGAAAAATAAGAGAGGTAATATCACTGGTAGTCATAGAATTTGGGTTCAATGTTCAGTTTGGTGCTAGAACTTTTAAAATACAGAATTGCAGTCATTTAACTTGACTCAAGCATGCACATCCGGTCCAAAAATATGTTGCGGGTGTATCCATACGTATGGGCCCACCTGTCAATGGCTGATGGCGCTCAGCCAACACATATTTGCACAAAGCACGCTTGTATTTTTGTATTTGCAGAAAAGACCGATTGCCATAATGCATTTTTTCACTAAACCTCCTCGTATTATTTATTTGTAGAAAAGGTAACCACCATACACTGAGAAAATTAACGCCAAAAAGGACGTCATGTCTCGAACACACGCCATGTTCAGCCGTTCAGCCATTACAGCCACTCCACCCATGCTGAGCTCGTGTCTACCAAGGATAACAAATTTAGATTTCTTTTTTGAGAGCTTCGATAACAAATTTAGAATTTTTTTAAGACAACCTCGCGAAGCTTTTTATTTAACTCGTCACAATGTTTACAGGGACGAAAGATAGATCATCTGGGTTGCCCAGCCACACACGGCGGCCAACACCAAGTGAGAGAGCATGCTTCGCTAAGCTGTGAGCCTCGACATTCAATCTCCTAAACTCATGGCTAAAAAAACAATTGACAAAAGTTTTCGAATGATCTACTATCTCCCTAATGATAGCTCCATACACCGCTGCACTTGGCTGCCTAATATCATCGATGACTACCTTACAGTCCAAGGCAATTGAGATCCTGTTTTGATACAAATCCTCTGCCAGGGCTAAAGATTCCCGAACAGCCAGGGCTTCAAGCGTTGTAGGATCATCAATGCCATGAAAGGTAATCGTGGACGCGCCCAGGAAAGCACCTTGTTAATCCCTGCAAACCGTTGCCACCGCCCCCACGGGTCTAGTTCTCATGAGCGCTGCATCAACATTGATCTTGCATGTCCCCTCTTGCGGTGGTAACCAATGACTCGGACGGGGTTGAGCCATCCTCTGTTGCTCTTGTGGCTTTGCTAGGACCTGGAGATCATTGAGAAAAGAGACCACAAAAGCATTTGTTGCATATGGCGTTTGGTGCAGCCCCTCGTGAATCAATTTCCTCCTTGAGCTCCATATTGCCCACAAGGTTACTCCAAGCCTGGTGAACTCGTCATGTGATAACGTGTCCTTCATCGAGAATAGCCAGGATTCAGCACTCGGGTTGACACAGCTAGTCATTTGGCCGACCAAGTTCTCCGGTGCTAGGGCCCATACGCTCGTCGACATGGCACAGTCAAGCAGGGCGTGTCTACAAGAGTCCAACGCCCCACATATCTGGCATGCTGGTGAGGTCGCCATGTTGCGGTGGTGAAGAATATCATATGTGGGTATAGACTCCCTTGCCAACCTCCACAGGAACACACGGATTTTGTTCGGAACCTTAGTGTGCTAGAGTGACGACCAGTTGCTGCTCTCCTCAAAGCTAGAAAGCCCCTCGATACCATATAGCCAATTTTCACGGCTTAATTTGGTGGTTTGGATCATGCGATATGCCGAATAGACGATGAACATACCTTTCTTCTCTCTACTCCATGCCCAAAAATCATCAACTCTCCTTGTGCATAGTGGGATCTTGAATATGGCCTCGACATCAATAGGTATGAATACTGAACGAACCACATCCTCATTCCACGTTGCTGTCGTTTGGTCTATAAGCTCATGCACGCGGGTATGTGGGTCTTGGATGAGAGAAACTATGGGCCTAGGGATGCCATCCCTCGGGATCCAGCTATGTTCCCAAATCATCGTTTCTTCTCCCGTCCCGATTCTCCTAATGACTCCTTGCTTCATTATGTCCCTTCCGTCAATTATTGCACGCCAGATCTGCGAGGGGTGTGAACCCAGCTCGGCCTCCAAAATTCCTATATCAGGGAAGTATGCTGCCTTAAGAATCAACGAGCTCAAAGTTTTAGGATTATTAAGCAATCTCCATGCATGTCTGGCTAATAATGCGAGGTTAAACATCTCTAGGTCGCGGAAACCTAGCCCTCCCATGTATTTTGATCTCGTCATGATCTCCCATGATACCCATGCTGGTTTCCGTTTGCCTTGCTTGCTACCCCACCAGAACTGCCGTATGATGGATGTGATGTTTTCACATAGGCCTCTCGGCAGGCGAAAACAGGCCATGGAGTAAACTGGAATTGCCTGAGCAATAGATTTGATAAGAACTTCCTTGCCTGCTGAGGATAACAACTTCTCCATCCACCCCTTGACCTTTTCCCACACATGATCACGGAGGTATTTAAAAGTGCCATTCTTTGAGTGCCCCACATCTGTTGGCATCCCCAAATATTTGTCACACAATGATTCTTTTTGGACTTGAACAGCAAGCTTCACAATATCTCGGGTTGCCTGAGGACACCCCCTACTGAAGAAAATAGTAGACTTATCTGAAGGAAATATGCCCTAGAGGCAATAATAAAGTTATTATTTATTTCCTTATTTCATGATAAATGTTTATTATTCATGCTAGAATTGTATTAACCGGAAACATAATACATGTGTGAATACATAGACAAACAGAGTGTCACTAGTATGCCTCTACTTGACTAGCTCATTAATCAAAGATGGTTATGTTTCCTAACCATAGACAAAGAGTTGTTATTTGATTAATGAGATCACATCATTAGGAGAATGATGTGATTGACTTGACCCATTCCGTTAGCTTAGCACTCGATCGTTTAGAATGTTGCTATTGCTTTCTTCATGACTTATACATGTTCCTATGACTATGAGATTATGCAACTCGCGTTTACCGGAGGAACACTTTGTGTGCTACCAAACGTCACAACGTAACTGGGTGATTATAAAGGAGCTCTGCAGGTGTCTCCAAAGGTACATGTTGGGTTGGCGTATTTCGAGATTAGGATTTGTCACTCCGATTGTCGGAGAGGTATCTCTGGGCCCTCTCGGTAATGCACATCACATAAGCCTTGCAAGCATTACAACTAATGAGTTAGTTGTGAGATGATGTATTACGGAACGAGTAAAGAGACTTGCCGGTAACGAGATTGAACTAGGTATTAAGATACCGACGATCGAATCTCGGGCAAGTAACATACCGATGACAAAGGGACCAACGTATGTTGTTATGCGGTCTGACCGATAAAGATCTTCGTAGAATATGTAGGAGCCAATATGAGCATTCAGGTTTCGCTATTGGTTATTGACCGGAGACGTGTCTCGGTCATGTCTACATTGTTCTCGAACCCGTAGGGTCCGTACGCTTAAGGTTTCGATGACAGTTATATTATGAGTTTATGAGCTTTGATGTACCGAGGGAGTTCGGAGTCCCGGGTGAGATCGGGGACATGACGAGGAGTCTCGAAATAGTCGAGACGTAAAGATCGATATATTGGACGACTATATTCGGACATCGGAAAGGTTCCGAGTGGTTCGGGTATTTTTCGGAGTACCGGGGAGTTACGGGAATATGGGAGAAGAAGTATATGGGCCTTATTGGGCTTTAGAGGAGAGGGAGAGGCAGGCCGCGCGCGCCCCCCAAGGCCTAGTCCGAATTGGACTAGGGGAAGGGGCTGCGCCCCCTCCTTCCTTCTCTTCCCTCTTCCCCTTCCTTGTCTCCTAATCCTACTACATGGAAGGACTCCTAGTTGGACTAGGAAAGGGGGAATCCTACTCCCGGTGGGAGTAGGACTCCCCTAGGGCGCGCCATAGAGAGGGCCGGCCCTCCCCTCCTCCACTCCTTTATATACGGGGGCAGGGGGCACCCCATAGACACAGAAGTTGATCCACGTGATCATATTCTTAGCCGTGTGCCATGCCCCCTTCCACCATAGTCCTCGATAATATTGTAGCGGTGCTTAGGAGAAGCCCTGCGACGGTAGTACATCAAGATCGTCACCACGCCGTCGTGCTGACGGAACTCTTCCCCGACACTTTGCTGGATCGGAGTTCGGGGATCGTCATCGAGCTGAACGTGTGCTAGAACTCGGAGGTGCCGTAGTTTCGGTGCTTGATCGGTCGGGCCGTGAAGACGTACGACTACATCAACCGCGTTGTGCTAACGCTTCCGCTGTCGGTCTACAAGGGTACGTAGATCAC